ATCATAGTTACTGTTTAATATTAACTCTGTCTTCAACCTTTACAGCTATGATTGATATCAAACAAAAATGCCTGTAGATATTTAACAAGCTTCAGTATTTATTTTGTGTACAAAATATATAAAAAGAATGTTCCCCTTAATAAACATAAAGTCTAAGCATTAAGAAGTACTAAATTAGTTTTGTTAAAAATATTTCCTTTCCCTTATGTTTTATATTTTTATTCATATTAGCACTTGACAAAAAGAATCTATGAAAATTGACCCTATCCATTTATCTATGAAAATTCACCTTACCCATTTTACTCATCTTAATGCTGACCCACAAGATCTTCACACAGAATCACACAGAATGATTAAGGTTGGAAGGGATCTTTGGAGATCTTCTAGTCTAACCTTCCCTGCGCAAGCATGGACACCTAGAACACAGGATTGCATCCGGGCAGATTTTGAATATATCCAGAGAAAAAGACTCCATAACCTCTCCGGGCAACTGGTTTACAGTGCTCTATCACCTTCACAGTCAAGAAGTTCTTCTTTAAATTCAGATGGAACTTCCTGTGCTTCAGTTTGTGGCTGTTGCCTCTTGTCCTGTTGCTGGCCACCACTGAAAGAGTCTGACCCCATCCTCTTGACGCTCTGCCTTGAAGTGTTTATACACACTGATAAGATCACCTCTCAGCTTTCTTGTCTTCAGGCTGAACAGCCCCAGCTCTCAGCCTCTCCTCGTAGGATAGATGTTCCAGTCCCCTGATCATTTTTGTAGCCCTATCATGGACCCTCTCCAGTAGTTCCATGTCCCTCCTGTACTAGGGAGCCCAGAACTGTACACAGTATTCCAGACACTGCCTTACCAGGACTGAGCAGAGGGGGAGAATCACCCCCTTCAACTGCTGGCAACACTCTTCTTAATGCACCCCAGGAGACCAGTGACTTTTTTGACCACAAGGGCACTTTGGTGGCTCGTGGTCAACTTGTTGTCCACTGGGACACTCAGATCCTTCTCTGGAGAGCTGCTGTCCAGAAGGTCAACCCCCAGCCTGTGCTGGTGCATTATTTCTCCCTAGGAGCAGGACTTGCCTTTGTCGAAATTCATGAGGTTCCTCTCTAACTCCTCTCTCCAGTCTGTTCAGGTCCCTGTGAAGAGCAGCACAGTCCCCTGGTCTATCAGCCTCTCCTCCCTGCTTTGTATCATAAACAAACTTCCTGAGGGTGCAGTCTGTCCCTTCATCCAGGTCTTCAATGAATAAATTAAACAGGACTGGACCCAATATTGACCCCAGAGACACCAGTATCTACAGGCCTCCAACTAGACTTTGTACCACTGATCACAACCCTTTGAGCTCTGCCATTCAGCCACCGTGCACTCGTCTCGCCCACGCTTCCTGAGCTTACCTGCGAGGATGTGATGGGAGACAGTGTCAGAAGCCTTGCTGAAGTCGAGGCAGACAACATCCACTGCTCTCCCCTCCTCTACCCAACCAGTCATTCTATCAAAGGCTATCAGATTGGTTAAGCATTATTTTCCATTGATGAATCTGTGCTGACTACTGATCACCTTTTCGTCCTCCACATGCTTAGAGACAACAGCCAGGATGAGCTGTTCCATCACCTTTCCAGGGGTAGAGGTGGGGCGGACTGGGCTGTAGTTGCCTGGTTCCTCCTTCTTGCCCTTGTTGAAGGCTGGCATGACATTGGATTTTAATGAATTTTTAATTCACAGCCTTCTTTTAAGTCACACAGTCGTCTTTTCAGAGTTGACTGGAGCATGAAAACCCTTTAATTTTTACTCCTTTTCTTATCCATAAAGTGTTTTTCACAAAATGAGAACTAGAGAGAAGTAATGTCTTTTTGTTGGCAGACTCAGGGCTTCGTATTAATAGAAACTAAGCAAAAGTTAGTATTCTTTCATGTCAAAATTGATAGGGTATTTGCTTTGCCAATGTGGAAACACTTCCACTGATGGCTAGCATTTTTGCTGTCTCATTTTGTAGATGCAGGTCCTTAGACTTGTTTACTATTAATGTAGTACTTCTCCAACCTTGAATCAGTAAGGAAAATCACATTGAAGAGGTCTTAAAATAGATATTTTTTACATATTATATAATATATAATTATATATTATAAAAAGTTGTACTTCTTTTCTTAGGTATATGGATGTCTAATTCCTCAGTTCAGCAATAGGCACCATGCAAGAGGCAAAAGGAGAGTGGAGAGTGAGGAACTGAAAACTTCTAAATCTTCCATTGACACTTGACTTACAGTCAACTCAAACTTCTAGTTTCTTAGACTCTGAAAATAATGTTTGCCTCACAGGGATACTAATGAAGCAATATGCAGAGTGTATTCTAAAAATATGCTGATACTAAAGATAAATTATAATTATCCCAGTAACAGTTGACATTCCTTTTTATACTGAAAAGTTCTTTCTGAATAAGAGAAGAAACAAAAAGACCTGTAACTTCCTTCTCAAAGACGTGGTGAAACAGAGAGTCTCAGAGAAAATATTACGTCAGGGAACATGTGTTTTTTCTCAATAAGTTATTTTAGGAGAGGCTCATCAGCTCACTATTGTTATGTCAGGTGGATGGCATACATAAAAAGGATGTAGCTTTTCCTTTAACTTAAAGAAAAATGTGCTTCAGAAATTCATTATTTGCCACAGGTGTAGTTAAATGTTAAGGCTAAGATAGCTGCATTTCCGGGTTGCTAAAGATTGCCCCTTTGGTGACAAGTATCCACTGTGCTGCATTCAGCATTATAACAAGTACCTGGGTTTTAGGAAACCACTTCTGACAGACTGCTTGAGAAACTGGATTTTTCACAGGTTTGTGAATAAAATATCTGCTATGCATGTGGTATTGAATTTCACCCACCCTGAGCCTGTAACAAGAACTATTCAGTGGTAGGAGAAAAGGATGTGGAGGAAGTTTTTCTCTGGCAGTCTGCTGATAATTTTTGCGAGCAGCCGTTTTGGCAGCCCAGGTTTACGACCACTGAAGTAAATCCCAGGGAGATAAATTAGGAGGCAGAAAGGCAGGTGGAAGGATTATCATACTGACCTCAAATTTACCCCTAGGCATCACCTCTGTCTGTGTGCAGCCAGCCCCAGCTGTACCCATTGGGTCTATCCATACTCACAGGTGCAAAGAATTCGGGGATCTCTAGGGCAAATTATTCTCCCTTTTAAGTAGCCTGTACTTCCCAGCACTAATGTGGGCAGGTTTGAGATTTACCCTGCATGACCCCAGCCCTGTGTAGTGGTGCAGACACCTATTTTTCATGCGGAGTGGTTGCTGCCTGAGGATGGGAGGGCTGCACTCTGCAGGCTCCAGTCTGCTTTTCCAAAATTCAGACACTCGAGTTATGCATAGTTGCAAGAATTTTGTTCCTCTCCCTACCAAGCCCTAACAGGGAGCTGAGGTCCTAGGGGGGTTTCATTACTGGTATTTTCATAATGCCTGCAGCAGAGCATTAGGCAGTGTTATACTGAGCCAGCAGCACTAATTCAGAGTTCAAGAAGAGAACAGAGGTATATTCCAGGATAATAAGACCAAATATATTGAAGCTACAGCTGGTGCTGTAGAGCATTGATTTGCTGTAAATAGGTTAATGTACCCCCTTCCAGCTGCATTAATATATCTGCAGCATGTGCATTCATCTCTGTGAAAATGATAAATGTCTCCTTAGCGCAGAGTGGGTATAAATGCAGTGGGTATGTTTCTTGTAAGTAAGTGTACTGTATTACAGTAAATATCGTGTACAATTATTTTTGCTTTAGAAAGCATTCAGCATTGTCTGGATTTTTATGGGAAAGGATAAATTTGGCTGGGAGGTTAGGTGGCTGTTTGTTTGTCTTTTCCCCTGTCCAACCACTCAGTGTCTGGCCTTTCTCTAATAAGAAAACATGGCAGTGTCATTTCTTCCAACGTCCCCACTGCCACCACCATCTACTTCTGAACCTAGTACCCCTTCCTGTCTCCATTTTTAAACCTCATGTAGAACAAATGCAGTGACTTTTTGTGGATCTTCCCTGGTTATGTCCTCTCATATCATGCCGAGCTGTCTAGCGTCCTGTTCCAACAATGTTATGTGTGACCAGTGCTACTAAAAACAAGCCTCCCTTCAATGCCCATCAAGTAAAATTTTCCTTACATATGATTTATTTATGACATCAAATCCATTTCTTTCCAAATCTCAGCTGACGATGTGCTTTTCTACCTCTGCCAAAACTGGCAGTTTTACTCACTTTCAGGGAATAAAACTGCCAACTGACGAGTGGTGTGTGAAGTAAGACCTTACTTCATTATTATTATTATTATTCTTTAAATCATAAACGGCTTGGATGTACATTTTTCTGAAAGAGGCTGTGCAAAATGATGTTGTGCTCTTCTGTTCTGCTGAGTGAGATACACTGCTTGAACTAATCATATTCTGAAGATCAGCAGACCCAAAATATTGCCAAGCAAATTTGCCAGATGCTGCATTGCACATTTGCAGTGCTTCACTGTATCATGACACTGCCACAAATGGTCATGATGCAAATATTAAGGCATTCATTCCAGTATGCAGTGGCAGATAGAGGCGGCCCCGTGACTCCATTCAGTATGAGACCAAGCTGCACATGGAGGTAAAAGACAGCAATAGTTATTCTTTCTATCTCCTCCTCCTCCTCCTTTCTGGCTTGCATGACAAGGATGGCCGGAGAGCCTAAAAGAAAAGCCTGCTGTGTTTCATATGCCAACAAATTGCCCCACGTGCACTGCGCGCCGTGGGGCAGCCTGTTGTCATTGATGCTGTTTGCTCCACCTGAGCCCAGCTTCAGAGCGTACCGGCCAAACTGCTGCTAGTCCCAAATCTCCAAGTGAGGCCCCAGCAACACATAAAATGAGGGTATTTTTAAAATCATTAATCGTTATTGCTGGTCTATAATTTCAGCTTTACACTTTCCTTTCTGCATTTAATTTTAATGCCCAGTAATCATGTACATTATATTTCTTCAGGTTATACTGTCTATAGAAGAAGGTTACAGGCTTCCAGCGCCCATGGGCTGCCCAGCTTCTCTTCACCAACTAATGCTTCACTGCTGGCAGAAAGAGAGGAACCATCGCCCAAAATTCAGCGATATTGTCAGCTTCCTAGACAAACTGATCCGCAATCCAAGCACCCTTCATACCCTAGTGGAGGATGTACTTGTGTAAGGTTCTCTTCAGTACTTCTTGTTTGTATCATCCATGATGGCTAGATGTGCTCATTGAATGGGTAGGGGCAGGAGAGAAGGGTAAAAGTCTGAGCTTATAGAGTTAGAAGGTTTCAGATAATTTTGTGGTTTGTTTTATTGCTAGTGCACTGTTATGAGGGGACTTTTTTTTTATGAAGCCATGTGGGTGATCTTAGGATTTTTCCCTTTTTTTTTTTTTTCCCCCAAGTTCTGTCTGTGAACACACTGAGTAACATTAATTTGGGGGAATCTCCTTGTTCAGTTTTTCAGTGCTTTTCCTATGTGTTTGTTTTCTCCTGGTAATTTTCTTTCCCATGCAGCATGCTGTTTGATAGAACTCAAGCAGTTTGTGGACTGGGTTGGAGTAATTTCCTGCAGTTATATCTTAGCTTGCTCAATCTGTGTCTAGCTGCAGAAGATTTATCTAGTTGCAGCGATGATCAAATAAGAGCTCATACTATTACCATTCCACAACAAATTCTTGATGGTATTGTCCAAAGCTTTCTCTTTAGTAATGTATTAAAAATGAATGCAGACACAATAGAGGCAGAGCTGTAGTGGAAGACTGACAATTTGACTGTGACCCAAGGGCCCTTGGATGTCAAATGAAATCAGTGAAGCTACAATGGGATAAAATCAGTGAGTTGGCCCTCACTGTGTTGGTTAGTGGAAAATCACCCTAAGGTAAGGTGCTTTCACTGACACCCCCCAAGCTAATAGGAGAAAAAACTCAGAGCCTCTAGGCAGGGCTGGCTTTGTTGAGAAGCGTATTGGTTAAAGAGGTGCTCAGTGTGGGTTTGGAGATGGGCTGAGAGACAGGGCAAAACCTGAGCCTGGTAGCTTGCTGTGGAAAGGTTGACGAGAGAAATAAATCTGGAGTTACTACAGCAAGTTGGCTACCACAGTTCCATGTGCCTGGGATTGAACATCCCTGAGTTAGAGTTAGTAGTCACACACACACACACAAACAGAAACATACGCATATATATATAAACAAATATATACACACACACACGTATATATGCACATGTGACTTCTTACTTATTCTCTTGTCGTTTTATATGGCATCAGAGTAACATGTTTATATTTACTTTTACTTTAATACATTAATTGCAATTTAAAGACTCATGCCTGTTCTCCAAAATCAAGTTTTTATTGAGCTTCCCTGCTTGGATAGGTTTTCTTCTTGCTTGGGAATGCTCAATGCAGATAATCTGAATGGCTATTGTGTTACTGATATTTGAATTTATGAGGTCAGCAGTTTTTCTAAAAGAATCAGAATAATTCCAATTGAAAGAGACCTTGGCAGGTCTTTAGCCCAGCCTTCTGCTTGCAGCACTTGTCTGTCTGTCATTTTCTCTATCATTTTGATACATGAATGAATATCTGTGTGTTTCTGTATTCCAAAATATGTGGCAGAAACTTAGCATGTTACGGTGTGTGTCTTTGTACCTTCTGCATAAGTAGCATTCTAGCACTCAATGTTGGCTAGGTTTTGCTGTGTCAGTTTTTATTTGATTGTTCTTCTAAAGACTATAACGAAGCTTGTGTAAGCAGCTATGTGTCTCTTCTTCATTCTGTTCTTACAGTTCCTCCACAAAAATCATGCAAAGGCCTCATCAGCATGATACAGAATAAAAGACTGGAAATATATACCCCCAAATTGGATTTTTTTCCCATCATTCAGTTTCAGTTGCAATAGCATTAGGAGAAAGAACTGAAGCAGAAATGCAACTAAGTTACCTTAAAAAAAATGCCTTCATTTTTATTTACTACTACAGATAAATCTGTGTGAAAGCAAAGATACAAAGCTGTGTTCTTTTTGCTTTTTGGGGTTTCGTTCTGTAGCTATTGTTATCAAAGTGTTCCCACTGCCTAATAGCAATAAAAAGCCTTCTTTTTTATTTGCAGATAAACGTAAAATAATCATCTTTCAGTGTTCATGTTTTTAAATTGTACCTACCTTTATCTCAGGTTAAACTTTGTTTTCTCTCTGTTTTGACTGCTGTATTATCCTGAAAGCCATAAGATCTGTAAGGATATAATCTGAGATAACAAAAATACAAACAGAGGGATAGGTCTGTTCTTCTCTTTCTCACTGAGCTGCAGTGCTTTTAAAAATGTATTGTTTAAGAGACACAATTTTACAGGGTAACATGATTTTTAAGTTTTAGACAATGGGATAAAATCAGTCTTTGGAGAACCTCAGTTAAGATCTGACCTTTAGAGCTCAGGCTCCTCTCCCATTCCTTCTGCCTTTTAATAAGAATAATGTCTGTGAGAGTAAATCAAGTATCCTGTTTTCCCCTTCTTTGGTAACCTTTGCATTTTGCGCCTACAGAATGCCAGATTCACCTGGTGAAGTTACAGAATATCCCTTGTTTGTCTCAGTTAGTGACTGGCTGGACTCAATAAAAATGGGTCAGTATAAAAATAACTTCATGGCAGCGGGTTTTACAACCTTGGATATGGTCTCAAGAATGAGTATTGAGTAAGTATCTACTCTATTATTCCTGTCGTGGTTAATCTGGAATTGTTTGGATGCTACGGTTATAAAATGGTCACGATGTATGGAACAGGACTTTCATTTGCTTTCATATGTAAGCTAATAAAAGATATAGATCTTATCAGAGCAATATTGGAGAAAGATATAAGTGAGAGCAGATAGTTTTATTCTGCAACTGTACTATGCAGTACCAAGCTGGAGTACCAAGCACTTGTATGTGTTTTAGGGGAAATCAGTTTTGATCTGGTCCACTGAAATCTGGGGCTGAGTGTTTTCTCTGTTGGTTTAAACAACATCAAACCTAAGTCATTCCTCATGTGGATGTTGCTCCATACCTTGCTGCCTTTCTTCAAATGCTCTCTTGATCCCCTCTCTTATTTTGGGGTGGGGGGGGAAGACTGCACAACTTGAAAGTGTTTTTCCTGAAAGCATCTCCAATTCCACTCTCATTATTGAAATGAAAATACTGCACACAGTAATTAAGGGTCTGGGCAAACTATGGATTTGTATGGTAGCATAATATTACCTATTTTGTTCTTTATTCCTTTCTTGTTAATTTATAAGCTCTCTTTTTATTTGGGGAGCATCTATATTAATTCCAATATCCAGTTGGTAATGACAAGTCAGTTAAGGTGCAACCATTCTATATGTGAAGTTAGAATTGTTTTTCTCCTATATGTCCTCTTTATATTTATCTAACCTGAAATTCATCTGCCATTTTATGACATCGTCACTATGGCATGGTTATAGGGTATATATAGGCCTAGTTCATAAGATCCTTCCAAACCTCTGCACAGCTAGCGCTTTCCCTTACTGCCAGGAATAACTTCACTCCTCTGTTCACCTGTTTTTCCAGAGCATTTACTGGTTTGTTGGACAACACAGAGGTCAGCTTAGGTCCCTGCAGATTTCCCCTGTTGACTCCGTTGTAAGAATGGAGGTTAGGAATTTACTCCTGACGGCATATCTTCTAAACAGTCATTTGTAAGTGCAAAGGTATTCTCATGCCATAGCTCCTTATTTTCCTTACAAAACTTTGATGAGGGATCTTCTCTAAAGCCTTATGGAAATCCAGGGAGGATATGTCAAATGGTTCACCTTCATCCATATGTGTGCTGGCTCCTTCATAGCAAACAAAAAACTGTAAAAGAGGAATTCTGTCTGCAGAACCCTTCTCTTCTCAAAGAGACTATATTTATTCTGGTATTTGCTAATTACATTCATTATTACAGTTTCTATTATGCCCTACACTAAATTCCGGCCTGGAGTTCCACAGATCTCTAATGTGAACTTTTTTTTCCCTGAGCACATTTTCCCCTCCACCATGCCTCAGGCATCAAGGCACTTTAAAGCAAGAGGTTACACATCCGTAGCTATCTTTGAGCTCCTCTTGGCTAAATACAACATTGTTCCGGAGATGTGTTGCTCTTTCTTTTTTTTGTCTTATTTTGCTTTTTGTTTCTCCCGCTACTTCTTCTGCCATCACTTCCACTTCAAACAGATTCTCTGGAAGGTTCATCATAAAGGTTTTGGCGTGGGAGTCACTTCTTTAGCAGTGAACATCAACTCAAATCAGTGCTTTAATCTCCCTGCAGTGGCCAGTTTTTCTATGTTCTTTCATATCATGATCATGATCATCAATAGGCTCTGCAGATACTTTGGCAGGCTCCTTGCAGCCAGTGAGTTTGCAAAAAAGTTTATTAATGGTTTTATTACTGGATGCCTTTCACTGGTTGTTCTTCATTTTTGTTTGGTTTTTGCCTGCTTTACTTACCTGTGAAAATACAGATAATTCATCATCCTTTCTAGTTTCTTCTTTTTGACACCACTTCAGGTTTCTTTGAAAGATTCCCTCTTTCTTCAAATAACCTTTCTTACCCCATTCTTTAGGGATGTTTGCTTCTCTGAGCTTTATCTGGCCTTTCTGGATAGGTGGTATGCACCGGTCCTGCATGTCTAACACCACCTCCCCTGCAAGGGCTTACTGTCTTAGCTGCCTCTTTTCGCTTTGGCAGGCTACATATTTTTGCATAGTCCCTTCTGATCGTAAGTGTTGTGTATGATCTCTCATATGGATGTTAAGCTGAAATACATAGTAGCTGCTGCTACTCAATGGCTCTTCATTTGCAGGATTGTCTGCAGGTATCTTGAACTGCAAATCTTGAACCCATAAGGATCACATTTCATCTTGTGGGCTCCTTAACTAGCTATATCATGAAAATTTCCGAGGATCTCTGAACGTGCAATGGTTATGCTATGTTCCAGTGTGAATGCACACAATTGACAGGGCATAACTGAAATTTCCTGCCCTCGCTGCCTCTCTGATCTTTCTCAGCACATTGCAGTTGGTGATATTTAGAGAGCTGAACTAATGGACTGTGCAGGATGCTGAGAGCTGTTGATTTTGTTTCTGACAGCGTTGCGCTCCGTGGATGTGCTGCCCACGCTGCAGTGCAGGGCGAGATGGGATGAAGGGGAATGGGGAGGGAAGTCTGGGTCAAGCGGGTAGGCTCACTGCTGTGCTGATCTTTGGACCATCTCTCATCATCATTCCCCAAGTTATCAAAAGCAAAACCTCAGGAATTCCTGCCTCAGGGTTGCAAGAGTGAGCTCTGTTCCCCCACATGTATGAGTGGAAAGAAAAATGTTACCACAGCAATAGCCAATTTTTATTGGCTCTTAGGTTCTTATTCAGGATTTGGAAGAATTTTTCACTAGTAATACCACTGCAGATAGCAATATTCTAACTCCAAGATTTTTTTTTCTTTTTTCTTATCTGACTGTCTTTAAAAGGTGGAAGTGGCAAATGTGGACATCTGCAGCATTATTATATATCCCATTTAAGAAAGTAAACGGTCCTAAAGTGGGGCAATTCATCGTATAATCTTTTCTGTGCATGAGGCTTTGCTATACTTGTATCCATGATGAAAATTTTTATTTTACAGTGACATTAGAAGAATTGGAGTTGTACTCATTGGACACCAGAGACGAATAGTGAGCAGTTTACAGACTTTGCGGTTACACATGATGCACATACAGGAGAAAGGATTTCATGTATGAAAGTACTAGAATCAAGTGTGTTTTGTGCCTCAGCATTTCTAAAATGGAAAATATTCTCAGTCTT